TAAAGTAAATAAATTTTAAAAGTAAAAATATTTAAAATAACTAATTTCTGACATAAGTGGACAAATATTAAATAATATTTAGACTTTATGTAAATTTAATTAAAAACCAGTTAAAATTCCTGTTAAAATCTGCTAAAAAATGTTCGTCAAGGAAATGTCAAGGGGAATTCTTGAAATTTCTAAAATTATCAAGGAATGTGTCAGATTGAGTTGGCAAGCCTAGTGGTGGTCATAATTGAGCCATGAGAGATTTCCACAAGGGGCAAATAAGTACCATATTAATTCATTTTGGTAATGAATTTTACATAATATTTAAATTTTATTTTTATTTATATGCATTTTAAGAGATATAATGTGTTTTACAATTATATATGCATTTGAAACACACTATTCACACACAATGGGGTAAAAATAAAAATTAAATAACCGTAAAACTTATATTAAAATTTTTAGAAATTGCTTGAAATCTATGTAAAACTCTATGAATAATGATTTTGGTCATAATTTTTTCAAAATAAAAGTTATAAATATGAATTTTTCATAACTTTTTATTTTCATTGCCATTATATTTCAGCCGTAAATTATAGTTATTTTTCGTGTTAAATGTCTCGTGAATTGTTGTGTCGAGAAAATACTTGTGTAGATATTATATAACAAATGAAAAACACATTATATATCTATTGCTTAAGTATATGTTTGAAAAATTTAATGACAAATTGAAAATAAATTTATCACATTTTTTCATACAATACTACAGTATATGCTATTTATTACAACCAAACTATACCTGTCTATGGGCTGGTAATCACGGGAACGTATGATCAAACATTAATTTCATAGCATTTTGTATTTCTTTGCAAATTTTTGTGCACAAAAATCAATTTATTATTATTTTCTCGGGTTTATTGACCATTGAATTCATATGTAGTTTTTTTTGCTGACAATCACTTTCTCAATGAATATTTCATATGAAATGAATGCATAGTAAAAGTCATAGAGAATTCAATGGCTTTTCACAGGTTTTTCGCACACAAAGTGCATAACAATCTCTGGGTTTAACGATCGCAACCATTTATATCGCTATCGATTGCATTATGAAAACTACTCATAGATATAAACATCAATTATTTATAACTATATATTGTGAACAACAAAAAGAAAATATAATTTTATTCCTATTTCCAAAACTTATATAACTATACCTTATTATCGCACATATAAGGAATAATAATACTCACACAATGGCCATGATCAATCACAATAAAACTCCGTAAAACACATCTAAACAAAACCTAACATATTTAAAACACTTAAATCATCTTGATAATTACCATTATTAACTTAACCAGTTTATTAATATGCATACAATTCTTGTGTCCACACAGTTTGTTGAGGACTACGAGCCAACTAAAGCCGATTCGTACCGAAAAAAGGTGATTCTGGACGCGGAAGAGGTGCAGATCGATATACTGGACACCGCGGGTCAGGAGGACTACGCGGCCATTCGGGACAACTATTTCCGATCGGGTGAAGGATTTCTATGCGTTTACAGTATTACAGAACACGAGAGCTTTACCGCAGTCACTGAATTCAGGTAACTTTATAAATCTACCATGATCACATTTGTCTCTTAGACAACCCTACTACCCATGAAGTTATATATTAATTATGACCTAGTGTTATAAATTATTGACGTACAAAGTGTTAGATTTAATTTATAGTATGCTAAACGCTGTTATGATTTATTTAATAATTCAAAACTACCATGATAATAAAATGAAAAAATTGTTTAATTTTTTATCACGTGTTTTTAATTGTATTTGTTATTTGTGCGCAAATAGGGAGCAAATACTGCGAGTGAAGGGCAGCGACGAAAACATACCGTTCGTATTGGTTGGCAATAAAGCGGATCTGAATGAACGCCGACGGGTCAGCCTCGAGGAGGCGCACCGTATGGCCGACTTATGGCGAGTGCCGTACATCGAGACCAGCGCCAAGACCCGGCTCAATGTGGACCAGGTATAAAACAATTGTGCTTGGTTATTTGTATGTGTGTTTTATTATATGTTTTATACTTTTAAATTTAGGTTTTCTTTGATTTGATGCGCGAAATACGGAAACGAAAGCTGACGGACGCCGAGACTAGTAATGGCCCGAAAAAAGCCGGCCGTAAGAAAAAGCGGTGCATTATTTTGTAATACAGATGTCGGGGCCGTCTGTTATGTCGCTCATATACCCATCGGATCTATCTATTGATCATTGAATTTCATTTGTTTCGCCACTCATTATGATATCATTTATTGATTTATCTGACAATTAATTGTATTGAAAAGTAAATTTTTGTGATTTATAGCGAGAGTAGTCTGTATTTCTAATTGATACCTAAATCTTAATAAATATTTATATTTTTATTATTTTTAATTATAGATTTACTATAATCTAGAATCTAATGTATTTTGATTTTATTTAAATTTACTTTTAATTAATATTATAATTTAATATTAATCATAAGATAAGCCAAATATTGTATTTTACAATTATTTTAAATACAAAAACAAATTTTAAACTAAATTTTTGCATATTATTTTAATTTTTATAATTACAAAATTGTAATGTAAACAACTTAAACGTCCATGCTCATTCAATAAGATTACCATGTTATAGTATTAATATTTGCCAAGTTGTTATATTTTTCAAATCACCATTGTAATACCATTATATAATGCATAAAACTATCATAAGTTATTGTTTCCCACTTTTCATTCAATAATATGTTGA